TAAAATAAAAATCTATTTATATATTATATTTATATAAAATTTAAATTATTTTTTTATTTTTAATAATTAAAATTTAACATAATTTTTAAATAAAAAATAATTATTTTTAATAAATATGAATAAATTTAAAATAAAAAAATAAATAATTAAAATTTTATATAAATGTGTTGTGTAAAATTTATGTGTAAATAAATTTATATTTATATCAAATATATATAGATGCCCATATATGAATCCGATCAAGGGATTCATACCCGAGCAATACGAGTTTGTTATCCATTCTTACTTCTAGTTCTTGTTCTAGATTTCAAACCATGCTGCTGCATACACTAGAGCCTCCAAAACTAAAAGATAAGAAGAGAATATATTATTCACACAAATTTGAAATCAAATTGTAGTTCTTATTTAGTAAAATGGCAAACACTCGAAGCCTCGGTATTTGTACAAAATATACTGCCATATATATATATATATATATATATATGTCTCTATCTGGAAAATGCTGTAAGAGTCGTGGATCCAAAACTATTAGAGAAGAGGGAACGAATTAACAAAAGCAGATTTCAGAATCAACTGGCACCTCTATTCAGCATCTCAGTGTACTGCAAATATGAAAACTGTCTCTGCAGCTTTATTTGCTCATAGAACTTGGCTATGAAGGCCTCCGCCTTGGAATCAATCTCTTCTTCTTCTTCTTCTTCTTCGCCCGGAGCCTTCTGTTCACAACAGTCGTACCCATATTCTTCTTCTTCAGCTTCTCCTTTCAAGAAACTCTTCCTCCCACTATCATATCCATAAACTCCATCATCGCCAAAATCATAATCGAAATCAACTTGCTCCGCGCCTATGCAAGGGAAGAGGAACCGCATGGAGGCTGGACGGTGCATCTTGACGTGGAAAATCGGAGTCTTATCGAAAGTGAGCTCACGTTCACCGTAATGGATCTGATCTCGATAAGCTCTATGTCCTAGACTCTTCAAGTACTTAGCTCCCAGCCGGAGCTCCATCGCCAGTCGTCGCTTGAAAACACCTCCTTTCCTCGTCCATAACATTAATGCCACCCTCAGGAGGTTCCATGCTCTATTAACACAATTCTTCTTCGGCATTTTTGACATAAAAAGTAACTAATGTTCCAAAACAAGGGCAGGAAATCTGAGTAAAGAGAAAAAAAATGGAGAGATTTTTGAGGTGGCTCTGCTTAGATCTAAGGCTTTTAGTTTTAGCAGTTGGGATTTTGAGATGCTGGAGGAGAGTGATGAAGATGTGTATTTATATGGAAGTTTTTTTTTGTGTTTGTTTGTGAGGCTATGACGCGGAAAGAGGAAGCTTAATGTGGTCTTGTTGGGGTAGGGAAACACGGTAGTAGTTAGGCTCGTGACAAAAATCCAGCTGTTCCCATTTTGTTACAGATCGAATCTATCCCTGTCTAGCTCTGCTTGTAGTAATGGGAAATGTTTTCTTGCCTTTGTTACTAATTAATTAATTAAGTAAATAAAATTTGTAGATTTGCGGCTAATTCAACTTGCGAAAACAAAACAATTGGATGAATAAATTAATGGAAGAAATCCAAGAAAATGTAGTTTACCCTCGTTTAAAAGGAGCATCTTAACATGTGTTTTAAGCAATGTTTCTTTATTTGAAATTTTGAATTTAAATTTTAAGATAAGTGTGAAAAAGTATGTAAAAATGATTATTTTTTATTATATAAGTTAATAATAATAATATTAAAATAAATAAATTATTTAAAATGTTATTTTAAATTTCGTTTTAAAATATTTCTTGATATTTTAATTTTTAATTTTTATATTTTTATTATTTTAAAAATATATAAAATATTAAAAAATTTAAAAAAATTAACTATTACAGTTGCAAGCAAGCGAGGTAAAATTAAGTTTCTCATATTATATGTCAAAAGCAAAGCAAAAGCGAATGCAAATGTGAATGATGGATACTCCGATATTTGTTTTGTGGCTGCTGTCTTCCTTATTAAGAAACAAAATTACCATAGAAAAGTCGAAGGGCTTTAATTTCACACGTAAACGTTCCGGTTTTCCTTGAAAATGCTTAAATGATTTAATTAATTAAAGAGAGCTCCCCAAGTAAGGTACTGGTTTTGTTGCTTGATAAGGACTTCCAGCACATGGAGCGCACCCTGTGTCTGTGTGTGAACATCTAATTAATCCTACCTAAACCGTGTCCTGGGGTGATGTACACTAACTTACTAATCATTTGATTTATACCGTATTTGTATTTAAATCTCAAATTATAATCAAGAACCTTCTTCTATTTAACTTCTAACATACTTTTGCTTTTACGGAAATAAAAAGTCTAACATACTTGCATTGAAATGATTAAAGATTCCAATAAAGAAAACTAATTTAATGTTTATATACCTATTAGAGTTGAAATTGGGTTTAGTTTGATAATAAAAAAAATAATTTTGGGATAATTTTTTTGTATTATTTTTTGGTATAACTTGATATGTCATTTAAATAATTATTATTTTTTATTCATGTAAGACCTATGATATTAAATATATTCATTTATTTAATGACATGTAAAAATTGTATCAAAAGATAATATAAAAAGATTGTTCTAATAACACCGCATGCCCTTGATAATAGTATATATAGAGTTATATAACTTATAATTATTGTTATTTATAAGATCTAAAGATTCTAAGTTTTCAATTTGAGTTAATAATTTATAGTTATTTTTAAAAAGGTAAAACAAACACCTTAAATTATAGATTTTCAACTAATGATTTAAGTCATTTAATAGTAATTTTTTTAAAAAAAATTAAAAATTAAAAATTTAAATCACAAAATATATTGATAGAGCAAATTTAAAAATAAAAAATATTATATCTTATTATATAATTCGATATTAAAAACTATGTTGTTTCACCTACAATGAGCCAGCAACTCTGGTTAATTAACAACTGGCTTTGGGCCGACACCAAAGTTTACTTCTGACCGAAAGGGTAACGCGTCTGGGCCACCACCTGCTTTTCTTATTTACACGAACACGATCCCACATCCACATGACAGGTTGTCCCAGTCATAGCATAATTGAAAGCCAGAACTACGAGGGGGGGAAAGCTACGTCGGAAGTTCAAATCCTCCAGCTTTCTCCAGAGTGAAGTGCAACTCAAGTTACCCAGAACCGCAAATAAAGTGAAGCAAGCAGCTCACAGCTGTTTTCTTTTGCAATATATACAACCACATCTTGGAAAGGAACCTCTTAATAATAATAATAATAATAATAATAATAATAATAATAATAATAATTGGTGTTTTATAATTTAGATTTTTTTGGTAATGGAAAAATAAGTAATGTATAAAATAAGTTATTATTTCGGTAATGGAAAAATAAGTAAGTCTAATATTTTGTAATTTGATATATATAATATTTTTAACTTGTACATTTATAGTTTAATTATTATATTTTTTTATATTAGTTAGTATTTAAAAAATAATTTTTTTATC